CTCTGCTAGAAGAATACACCGTTTTCCTCTTGCATAAATGGTAGGTAAACGAGTTGAAAAAATACAGATATATTAAAGGTACCCTATACAGATATAAAAAATAACGAGTAAGTTTATTTATACCACCAAAACCATGATATCAGTTTTAGAGCCTCTGCAAAATGAAATGTTGTTCCACATGATTACGTATCACAGGTGAAAAATCATTATCAGTAATAGAGAAACAGCTCTCTGAACAACACAGCGCGCTATTTTATCGTCCAGGTTAACCTCACACGACACCAACGGAAACATATACGGTGGTGTCTCGGCCTAGGTTGAGGTTTAGCTAGAAGTACGCCTACTCGAAGTCCTGTTGTTCGTTTTAAGAATCCTAGAAGCACTCTATTGAGTACTGTGAACGACGTTCGGACTGCCACTACTGGTCGATATTGATGAGTATCTATAATACGTGGCTTGACGACAGTTGTCAATGTTGCAATTCCCCAAAATGCGCACACTTCTTCTTTTATGTACCGAATCTCTTCAGGACGTAGACTCTCCACATCTTCCCGTCCTTTTTAGCTTTTAATAAGTTTGCCTTTTTGTTATTTCTCTCAAACCCTGTTCTACAATCCATTCGCTCAAGCCCACAAAGTATGTCACACGTTGCTTTCCTCTGTCCCTTTTTACTCCTATCCGCCCTGTGAGTTTCAGATTTTCCAAACCCTCCTTCCCCATTAAGTGCCCAAAAATTTTAACTGCCTATTACTGATGTTAAGTATGTTTCCTTTTTGTTTCCATTCTCCCCAAAACCTATTCAGCCTATCGTATCATCGGCATCCTTCTGTAGAACCACATTTGTATTGCTTCAAGTCTCTTTATTTTTCAGGAGATTGTCCAGCATCCGCTGCCATACAGGAAGACAGATATCACGTAACAGTTCAGTACTCGAACCTTTGTTTCCAACGAAATTTTCTTGTCTCTTAATTCTCTGCTTAGCTTTTGGAATTCATCTTTGGCCATCCCAATACATCTTCCGTCCTCTGTTAGAACACTTCCCAGATATTTAAATTTCTCTACCTACTTGATTTTTAATATCGCCGACCTGTAATTTGCAGTTTGGTTCCACCTTTTTGCTGATGACCATGCATTGTGTCATCTTGTAATTTATGCTTAGTCCTTTCTTCTCGCTTTCTTTCGTTACTTTCTGTAGGAAGTTTTGTAATTTCCTTTCCGTGTCTGTTAACAACACTGTCATCTGGATCTCTTATATTGTTAAGATTGTGGCCGGCAGTAATGAATGGTGATAGGACTTCTAATTCTCTCAGAATTGCCTCGCTGTGTAGGCTGACTAAACCCGGTGAGTAGACATGTCCTTGTCTTACACATTCTCTCAGAATTGCCTCGCTGTATAGGTTGACTAAACCCGGTGAGTAGACACGTCCTTGTCTTACACCTTGTCTTACACATTCTCTCAGAATTGCCTCGCTGTATAGGTTGACTAAACTCGGTGAGTAGACACGTCCTTGTCTTACACATTCTCTCAGAATTGCCTCGCTGTATAGGTTGACTAAACCCGGTGAGTAGACATGCCCTTGTCTATCTTTGCATAGCTGCTGAACTCATTTTCCGTATGCACGCGGTTTGCTGCCAGTAGAGATTCTTGATTATACTTTCAGATAATTGACGATAATTATTCTGTAACAATTGGTTATTTTCTAAGCCTAGATTAGATGTGTGGCACAAGGCCGAAAATACGGAGCACCTAGTGAGTTTCGAACTCACTTTTCAGTCGTAACTGATCTAGCGAGACAAGCTTGCTAATCATTACACCACGCCGAGGAACCCTACATAGTGATTTTCCAAGCATAGCTTAGGTGTGGCACAAGGCCGAAATTAGGGAGGCACCCAGTGAGAATCGAACTCACTACTCAGTCGTAATTGTTCTAGCGAGACAAGCTTGCTAAACATTACACCACCTCGAGGTACCCGAAGCGTTCCCACACCGGGAATCGAACCCGGCTGTGAGATAAGTTACAGAATCCCAGAACGAATGTCTTGATCTAGTATCAGTCCAACTCCTTTTTCACTTTTCTCTCTGCATATATATTCCTGTGGTTGCCATTGACAAAATCTCTGTTGTTTGGCCACCTAGTTTTATATACTCCTAAAATGTTGTCCTTTTACTTACTCATCACCTGTTTTATCTTTTCCAACTGACCGGAATTGTTTAACGTTCTAACGTTCCATGTCCTGAGAGTTATTTTTTGTTTGATACGAACAGTCGCTGGATGACGGTCATGTGACACCTGTCACTCATGTCGCTCCTTTCTGGGTGAGGAGTTAATTTCCATAGAATTAACCCTCTCCTCGCCGTTAGCTTTCACATTTCGTTTGGTAATTACCATGACATTTCTTGGGATTAATAGTGGAGTAGTTTCCTGTTGCCTTCTCTGCAATGGTTTATTTGCGACACATCCTCTAGTTAGCTGACTTGTCGAGAGTTCTTCCCCCATTTGTTAGGTCCTATTTTTCATCCTTAATGGATGCTAACAACACGCCTGACTCATAATCAAGAATATCTAACGATAGCATATATATATATGTGTGTGTGTGTGTGTGTGTGTGTGTGTGTGTGCACGCGCGTTAGCAGCAAGCTTTCTTTCAAACATCTTTCATTGAATACGGCCGACAAGGTAAATTTAAGTAATTTTTTTCTTTTTACATTTTTACAGTGCGGACACAGCCTCTCAAAAACCCATAATCCGAATCCTTTAAAACAGCTCTTATTGAACAAAGGAACCTGGGTCCGCTGAACCCAGCTCAAAATCCGCCCCTTAATTCAAGATGAGGCAATTTTATTTTTCGTTATTATAAATATATATAAATTTTTAATGTTGTTTCTTAATGTTTGTATTTATTATTGATTATTTTATAGTTGGTTATTATTATTACGTTTACTTGTGCATATGTGTACGTTCGTAGTTTTTTAATTTGTTTGTGTGTGTATGTGTGCGTGTGTGCGCGTACGTGTGTGTGTGTGTGTGTGTGTGTGTGTGTGTGTCCACCATAAGAAGAGATATGATTAAAATTTCAAAGAGTACTAAGAAAGAAGAAAGATGTTACATATTAAAGTTGCATTGTTATTGTTGAGTTTGATGTAAATAAGTTTACATGGTGAGATTTAGGAAAGAAAGATTGAAAGATAGATGGAAAGAAATTAAAAAAATGCCAGAAAGAAGAAAAAAAAGAAGAAAAGAAAGAAGAGAAGAAAGAAGGAAAAAAAGATTAGCCAAGAGAAAGAAAAATTGAGAAGAAAGAAAGAAAGAAACAAAGAAAGAAAAAAAGAAAGAAAGGCAATTATGTAGGTAGGTTGTTAGTTCACTTTATTGGATTTGATTTTTTAACTTATTTTGTTTATTAATTTATTTTAGTTTATTCTTGTTCTTTGTTAGTCTTAGTAACCTAGTAAAAATTTACTTACGTGTTTGCATTTCGGCATTAGTTCTGATCATTTATTTAGTAATTTGTATTGGTATGGGAAGGTAATGAGAGCTATTTACTCCTCCAGAAAGAGTCTAAAGTTTTGGGATTAATTGTTGTAGGTTGATACAGTTTTCCTTATTTTCCGTGATATTTTTGCTGTGGTTTGTTTTGTTGTTTAATAAAAATACAATAAATTAATAAACAAAAATAAGTAAAATAAGTTAATCCAAAATAATAAATCAGTAAATAAATTAAGTAAATAATAAACAGATTAACAAACCACGGACGCACATATAAACACAAGTAAACGTAATGATAGCAACCAACTATAAAATAATCAACAATAAATTTTTAAAAATAACAAACACCACTAAAATAGCCAAAAATTACATCCTTAATTATTTCCCCTCAGTCGCCGCTAGAATAAACCGAAACATAACCGTTACCGCCCACCAAAATAACGGTTAGAATAATACAATGTATCACTGATCTGTACATATAAATAGTTGGGCAAAACCACACCGTATACGGCCTGGCAATTGTATGGGATAGACTGTCGCCTCTGGGTATTGATTTTAATGTCTACTTTTATATTTACATACGCTCTATCCCTGATATTGAGCAATTTAACCCATAAATGTAGCATATCTTAAACTATAGCATAGCTTAATAACTATATTTTATCACGCACACACACGTGTGTGTGTGTGTGTGTGTGTGTGTGTGTGTGTGATAAAATGTAATGTAGTTATTAAGCTTTAGTCTGAAGATCGTATTAAAGTAATTGTCTATATCTATAAACGATGTCTCCGATAATGGAGACTCTTCTATAAATAAAATACAGCAAATCTTAAACAATATATATATATATATATATATATATATATATATATATATATATATATATATATATCTGCTTCGGAAAGCCAACGCTAATCAGTTTTGAAGTTCGCTATTTCTAACTTTCGGGGCAGAGGATAAACAACGTTGAGCAGTCTTGGTCAACTCACATGAAGAAAGTCAATTCAAAATGTTGTAGTACTCGGATATCAAATATAGCCAAATTTGTAATATGTGATCCAGTCCAGCAATCTTGCACACACACATGCAAAGAAGCATATATATATATATAAATATATATTGAACAACATACAGTAACATTCTCGGATCAATATTCATCTGATAACCACGTGTCAGACTAATGACTATATATATATATATACATATATATATATGAGATGAGTGTGTGTGTCTGTGTGCGTGTGCGTGTATGCGCGCAAGAGCGTGTGAGTCTGTGTTTGTCAACCATGAGAAGAGATATGATTAAAATTTCAAAGAGTACTAAGAAAGAAGAAAGATGTTACATATTAAAGTTGTATTGCTATTGTTGAGTTTGATGTAAATAAGTTTACATGGTGAGGAATTAAAAAAAAAGACTTGCTGAATTTGAGAACTAATTTTATTCTTCCTTATATTTTCTTTTCAATTTTTTTCGGTGAATGAAATTTAGAATTTTTAACTTTTGTCAGTAGAGTAAAAGAGAGCTGAATATGTCGTCAAAAGGAAGACTCCCGAAATCTACCCTCCTCCACATCTCTATCCTCTTCTCTCACCTCCCTCTGTGCCACTCTCAATCGTTCTTTCCTTTTCTCTCTCTCTCTCTCTCTCTCTCTCTCTCTCTCTCCTCCCCTTTTCCCTTTTCTATTTTTCTCTGCTTATTTTCTGAATTGTCACTCAAATGACCTCTCATTCATGGCCACTTTCAAATGTTATTTTCTCTTCAGATATTAAATATTTTATGTCATCTTCTCACCAAATATTAATTAATGTCTTTTGGATGACACGATGATCGGAGACGGCCATATGCCAACAGAAGGCAACTACTTGTTGCCAGTGGTGTTTCACTTAATATTGCCGCATACCATAATCATTACAATATTGATATGAGTTATAAATGTGACCGAATTCTCGAACATTTTCTTTCTATCTATCTATCTATCTATCTATCTAGGATTAATACAAATATTAAATTTGTCACTTAGATAATTAATGTTATATTCAGCACCCTGACTCCAGAGTTTTGTAGACGACCCTTTTTTGTAATCATTTTGTCCACTCGTAAAGAGATATCAGCAATTAACTGTTGATTTTCTCATTTTCGTTATTTATATATTAAGTTAAAAATCATTTATGTTAAAAATAATGTATTAAGTTAAAAAATTTTTTTGATTTTGATTTTTAACCCGATATATTTTTATTATTTCAAACGTTATTTTTAACCCGTATTTGAGTAAGACGACCCGTTTTTCAAACAGTGTTTATTCCGTCTACCAGCCTTCACATTCAAGAAAACTTTATGAAGAAAATGCTGCCTTTGATAGAATTTGAACATGCGTTCAACTTTATAGAAGTTAACTTATTCAGCCGAGAAGAGTTTCATTCTTAAGTTGCAGGTTGGTAAACGAAATGAATAATGTTTCAAAAACGACTATAAAAAGAGAAAAGGAGTGAATAATGAGTGATTTATTTTGTTTTGAAAAAAAAAAAAAGCTAATTTTTTAAAGTAGGAAAAATGTTTATTTGGACAAAAACGAATAAAATAATTCCCATTTTGTTGTCATGTCGCTTAAGCAATTCACTTGGCTCGAATTGATACATTTCAGGCAACAAACGATAGCAAAAATGAATAAATTATTAATAATAATCAATAACTAATATGTGCTGAAACCACTTGGGTTTGGTTTTGCAAACAAATTGCATAAGTACAAACGAAGAGTTGGCCTAAAAAGATAAGATTGTTTACAATTTAGAAGTTCAGACGAATAGCCATTTTCGGTTGAGCAGGATAGTTTTACACGTTATTAATATTATTATCATTGTTGTTGTTGTTGATGACGATGATGATGATGATCTTGTTGTTACTGATTTCACAATACCAAAGGTTTACAGCAATATCACGTTGAAACATCAGTTCTCATATGATCACCGAAGTTAAGCAACGTTTAGCATGCATCTAGATGAGTGACCGCTTGGGAATAACAAGGGCACTAAGCTTGGATATGCGGGGGTGCGGAGCTTAATGAATAACGGCTTGGAATTGAAAGTCGAAGAACCGAATTTCAATTCCAAGAGTTCATAATAGTCACTTACGCAGAAATACCCTTGGGAAAGATAGGAATCCATCTCTTCTCCTTGTATCAGTAAATTATTATTATCTCCAAAAAATTCTTACCATCCTCAAATATTTTCTGGTTTTAAATAACCCGAAAATGCTTTATAATTCGTAATAAAAACAAATCAATCAATAAACGAAACCAAATTCAATTCACCAGGAATTACGAGGCAAACAAATATGAAGAATTGTGCAAACTTGTAGCGGGCGGTCCAGCGGCCCCGTTTCACGGAAAGGGGTGAACGGGGTCACAAGAGACCCGCTAACATTTTTGAAGACGTTAAATCTGACATGTGGAGCAATATGGACGACAGAACGAGGATATATATGATATATAGAGGTTTATTCTAAAAGGAAAAGGAAATGAAGATGGTCGGAAACGGTGGAGGTGCTGGATACTGCAGGAGTGAGCCGGATGTTGCAGGAGTGCCGGATACTGCAGGAGTGAGCCGGATGCTGCAGGAGTGCTGGATACTGCAGGAGTGCTGGATACTGCAGGAGTGAGCCGGATGCTGCAGGAGTGCTGGATACTGCAGAAGTTTTAGTGCAGGCATTGATGGTCGAGGTTGGCAGTTGCTAGGATCATCGTTGTTGGGGGGTTGACGCTGATGTGAGTTGTTGCCAGGATGATCGCTTGGTGGTTGTTGATGTTGAGTGATGCCAGGATGATCTTTGTTGGTTGTTGAAGCTGAGTCGTTGCCGGGGCGCCAACTTGTTGCTGTAGTTCGTGTTGCCAACTCGTTGTTTGTCATTGCCGGGATGCCAACTTGACGTGTTGGGAAGGAAGAGAGAGAAAGAAAGTTCCCAACTATCGTCAAGTTGGCAGACAAAAAGAAATGGGAGCGTAACTTAATACACAGCCCGTAGATCGGCGCCCTTGGCCAATGAAGGCCAAGGGGCCTGTGTAGACGACCGTTGCGGCCGCCGACAGCCTCCCCAAAGCTTGGGAGAAATCACTGTCTTGTGTCGAGGGGGACCAGCAAGAGAAATTGGCTAAGCTAACCGAAAAGTCTCTCTAAAAAAATACTACAAGGTTAGCTAAAGATAACTAATGGTCTAAAAATGACTAGATGTATATTACACCTAGGTTTGTAATATAGCCTAACTAAAAAAGGGGATTTGCTAGTCCCTCTGACGTGTTAAGAGTGTGTAAGGAGCATGAATGAGAGGTCAAGGTCGAAATGACCCGTTCCTCTGCCAGTTCAAGGATAGGAGGAGGAGGTAACTCCGACAATACCTCCCACCAGATTAAAAGTTGTAATGAAATGTCAACTTTTAATATACATAAGAAAAAAGTTTCATGAAAGGTTTTGATTATTGTTCTTGTGAACTGAAAAGAAAATGTGTCAGAAGTGTGGTTGAGATGCGTGATTCACGAAATGTGCTTGTATTGTCGACAGGGTGCAATTGTGGAAAATGTTTTTCGAAACAGTGAGTCGTCCGAAAAAATACTGTGAAGCATGGGAAGCAAGCGGTGGCGTGAAGATGCTGCCACGTGGTGTAGGAAAATGTATGTGCGCTCTTTATGAGTTTCAGGAATGAAGAAGATGCGAAATGCTATGACCAGTAGCACGTGTTGAAAGGAAGCGGAATTTGCAAGATTAATAGCGACGAATTACGTGCATGCAAATCCTCAGTGATGTCGCATCGTAATGGAACAGTGAGTCGTCCGGAGAAAGTCGTAGATCCATTCCTGTGAAACTTGTGTGTCGCTTCCAAAAGTTGTTTTGAAAATAAAGGACAGTGGGTCGCCTTTAGTGGTTCGGAATCAACAGTCGTATGTAGTGGAACAGTGAGTCGTCCAGTGGTTTGGGTTCACACTTTATCTGTTTCAGTCCAGAAGAGGTGTTAGTTCGTAGAAAATGGTGTTGCAGGTCTGCTGGTTGCTAAATGTTGAATATGCCTCGTTTGCTTTATGTCGCCATATTGTCCAGCCAAGTCAGATTCACGTCGGGGTCACCACTTGTAGCTGTAGTTCGTGTTGCCAACTCGTTGTTTGTCATTGCCGGGGTGCCAACTTGTTGCAGCAGTTCGTGTTGCCAACGTTGTTTGTCATTGCCTGGATGCCAACTTGACGTGTTGGGAAGGAAGAGAGAGAAAGAAAGTTCCCAACTATCGTCAAGTTGGCAGACAAAAAGAAATGGGAGCGTAAATTAATACACAGCCCGTAGATCGGCGCCCTTGGCCAATGATGGCCAAGGGGCCTGCGTAGACGACCGTTGCGGCCGCCGACAGCCTCCCCAAAGCTTGGGAGAAATCACTGTCTTGTGTCGAGGGGGACCAGCAAGAGAAATTGGCTAAGCTAACCGAAAAGTCTCTATAAAAAAATACTACAAGGTTAGCTAAAGATAACTAATGGTCTAAAAATGACTAGATGTATATTACACCTAGGTTTGTAATATAGCCTAACTAAAAAAAGGGATTTGCTAGTCCCTCTGACGTGTTAAGAGTGTGTAAGGAGCATGAATGAGAGGTCAAGGTCGAAATGACCCGTTCCTCTGCCAGTTCAAGGATAGGAGGAGGAGGTAACTCCGACAAACTCAATAAGTAAATTTCGAGACTATTGACCACGTAGTTTATCGCGATCCAATACAAAAATGAACCTGACAAGATTAGGCAGTATGTTCACTGAAAGATATGTCAATATTATGTGTCACATGCTGAACAATGGTATTAGCATGAACTTGAAACAGACATAGCTATAAGTTCAGTGTTCATTGAGATTTTTATCATTCTTACTGACAAACATAAAATCTAATGACATTTAAGACTACAAACAAAACTGCCTTTTTATATGTAGAGAAGTGACATCATATCTGTTAATGAAAACGACAACATCAATATAAGGATCTTGAAACTGAAACTGAAAAAATGTGTCACCTTAAAAGTACTATTAAAACTACTCTAATAATTGAAGTCCTGGGAAAGACTAATTTTTTTAAAAAAAGTAACAAACAAGAACATTAGCAAGATTTTTGACAGTCTTTGTTTACAAGAGATTTTTAAATCAAGTAGAACATTACGTGCTAATACCCTTGGGAAAGGGTATGAATCCCCTTCTTCTCCCCCCACCCCCCAGATATGGGTAAATAACAAGACAGGCCGGGTTCTATAGCCTTGGATGGCAAGTGGTCTACCGCAGAAAGAAATGGCAACCTACTGCGGGAAAAAATTTGCCTCGTCAGTCATGTATCGAAAGATACATGATCGTCTATGCGTGTATCACGCATGGCACATAACTGACTGAGTGCAATATGAAGACCACATAAACACAGCAGATGTTAAGTATCGCTTAACATCAGAATTTGTGCAACCAGAATGAATATGCTCACTACTTTATTGGGGTCTCACGCAATATTCTAATAAGAGAATGTATAAAACAGAAAGCAAAAGAAGAAAAAATTATGATTAGGAAAATAATAATAATAATAAATCGCTTATTCTACATGGATGATATCAAAGTCTTTGTCAAAGATGACAATGAGTTGATGGGTATCCTCAATACTATAAAATGTCTCAGTGATAACATCGGTCTGGATTTCAGATTAGATGAATATGCAAAAGTAACATTCAGGAAAGGGAGAATTACAGGAACATACTCAATAGATTTAGATTTGGTCACAAAGATTAGGGAACTATAACAAATGAAGTAGAAAATAAGAAGCGATTACTATAGGCGTGTGCGTCTGGTGTTAAACATCAAGTTGAATTCACAAAATATAATATCAGCCATAAACAAATTGGCTGTCCCTGTGGTGCAATACATTTTGTACATCTTTAATAGGACAATAGCTGACATTGAGCAAATGGATGTCAAAACGAAAAAACTTCTCACTGTCCACAGCAGGCATGAAGACTGATGTTGATTGTCCGTATGCATCCAGATCCGAAGGAGGCAGAGGATTAGTTCGACTAGAACTGTCTTACAAAGCCACAACAAAGATACCTCGAAAATACAGAAGACTGGATGATGATCTGTATCAAAGAACAAGAAATTTTATTCAGTAATAATGGAAGAAAACAAATTCAAAAGGGAATTTCAAGTGGGTGAAGAATTGCAAATATAATACACCTACGGCAGCAGCAAATAACCTAAAAAAGAAAGCAAAAGCAAATGCAATGTACTAAATGCAGAAACGATGGAAAGAAATAGATATGACTGGATAAGAATATTTTTCTATGAATTGCGAAAAATGATTAAGATTTCATCATGTAGACGAATAAATATAAGAACAACGTCAGCTCAAATGAATAAAAAGGTATAATTCTTTCACACTTACTAATTCAAACAGGTAAGGAAAGTGAAGAGATGCCAGTGCTGTAACAAAAACCCATATCAAATCAGACGTGGGGGAGCTAAAGAATTATCAACGCCTTCAGAAATGCAACCGTTGTATAAAATAATGTGAACAATTTACGTTTCATTAGTTGATTATTTCTTTAATACATCAGCAACATCTAGAGAAGAGAATGCCATATTGATTATCTTAAAGAAGACCATGCGAGGTGAGATACTTAACCAATTCAGAGCTGAATAGAGTCTCGGGTATTTTGCTAAAATGAGGTAAGCGGCTAATAGGTCAATAGTTAGAATGATCAAACAGTTCGCCTGAGTTCTTAAAGAACTACAAAAGATGATTTCCATCATCCAGAAAAGCAAGAAACGGTAAGACATTAATTGTACAGTTTAAAGGGAACATGAGACAGTTCAGGTGCACATTCCTTAAAGACTATAAATAGAGATACCATAAAATCCAAATGCTTTGTGGCGATCTAGCTTAGAGATGATAACAGAATCCATAGACGATCTAAGTGTAAAGTCAAGCAAAGATACTCCAGATGAGTAAAGACAATAATTTAAAGAGAATTTACGAGCCAAACATTTTTCTGCAGAATTTTTTAACACCTGAAATTGAATGAAGAGAGGTGGGGATAAAAAAAAATTACAGAGCAGTCAGTAGCCACGAGAAACAAGCTTTTCTGGGGCTATACGGTTCTTCATTCTGTCAGCAAACAAAGACTTAGCCTCTTTGAGGGCGCGTTTACAATTATTATAAGCGGACACAATTATGCGCCTGTTGTGATCAGAACTATCATGCTGGTACAACCGGAAAAAGTTTTTCCTGTGAGCTATAGCGGCTGAATAGACAGATGTAAACCAAGGATAAATATTATGGTTTCACCTGGTATCTCCAAGAAGGTACAAAAGCATTTAACCTAATGTTGAAACTTGACTAATGCATGGAATAATAATACAACACAAAATGTACTTAGAACAAAATGTATTGAAACAAGAAAGTGTACACAATATTTACATATAGTCTTTTGTATATTCTTGGGAAGACCGTTCCTGGAGAATGTGTTGCCTTAGTCGCAGTCGGGCAGAGTCTCTGGATTGAATCTCTTGATTCCTCCCCCCCGTCTTCCCGGTACCATGGTCGGTACTCCACTATGCAAATTAGGTGGATCCTACCACAACACCTAACAAGAAATCTTTGTGACACAATTCTCCATAGAAAAATTAAGAAAATGAACCTCAGTCAATAAGCTGATAAATGGAAGAAGTCTTGCGAATAAGAGGTTCCTTTCAAATAGAAGACTCAAAAAGAAATATCAACAGATACTACAGAGTGGTCCGAATTGTCAAATGAACAGAGTGATGCTTGATGAGAGATAAGAGAATGTAAGGCACAAATCAATTTGCAAATGGATTCAATATTTTTCCATTTCAGTTATAGTCATGAGATTAAGCACATTTGAAGTTTTCCGTAACTTAGCGGTCCACATACACATCGGATCAAACGGTGATTCTTCCCGAAAATAGGGACACAGGTTCGAATCCTGATGGAGGTTAGATTTTCTTTATTAAGTTTTCTCGGGTGCAATAAATAAAAAGCGTTCAGAAAAAAAGAGCATCAACTCAAATGCGTATATTCACTAAAAATAAAGTTCGGAGCAATAAAAATATGTAGGTATATATATCTATTAGTCCTCAACCGAAAGAAAAAAGAAGCATTTATTTTACACACCATATAGTTATTTGTCGACATATTCTTCTTCCTTGTCAATGCACTTAATTCAGTTGTGAATATGTAGGTACATCAATAAGTCTGTAGGCTAATGTTGAAAAAACATTAATTTTACGCAAAAAATATTTATTTTTCAACATAATCTCCTCTCTTCAATAGTGAATATGTAAGTCCTCTTCTTTGTTGTCATATTCACGACGTTTCGGCCATTGTACTCTCCGGCCTTCTTCAGGTGATTTGAATTTCGAACCGAAACGTCGTGAATATGTCAACAAGAATGAAGACAACAGTCTGAACAATGTAAATAGTTACAATACCTCATTTCAGAAAAATAGACAGATATATCTGAAGGTTGTTAGAAATAACTTTCTTGGTTTGATTTTGAGAAGGGATGCGAAGTGTGTTGGTTGCTTGCTTTTGTTTAGCAGCATATCAATCTTCATGGGTTATTTGATGCTGAAATCTAAATATTTTGTACGCATTTTTGTTTTTTTTGTGATTATAATGGTTTTAGTGATACAAGTCTTACTATTTTACCCATACCTGGGAGGAGAAGAGGTAGATTCATACCTTTCACAAGGTTACTTGTGATTGAGTGAATATAACGGGAATTGGAACTTCATTATACCACCCGCACATCCAAACTTACAGATGGTATTCCCAAGCGGTCACCCATAGGTACTGACTAGGTTCAACGTTGCTTAACTTTGGTGACCGTATGGGAACCAATGTTTCAACGTGATGTGGCCGTAAACCCGATAATAAGCGGGTAATAACCAGAAATAGGAATGATCATTGATTAATGATTCTGAGCCACACACGGACTAAGATCATCAGGACCGGCTTCCGGTTTCTAACGCATGTCTTTTGATTGCCATTGTGACTTCAAAAACCGGAACAAGTTACGATAACGGAATCAACGCACATTTGAAGAAGCCGAATTTACTTAAATGAGATCTCCATTCTGCCCAGCCGATGTAAAAGAAAACCTCTTCATAACCTCTGCATGCCGGCCATCCTGCTTACAAAACAAATTTAGCTGAATACACAGATAATAGATAAATACTATTAGTGTGCTTTAAAAATAAAACTTACATCTGAATGAGAAGTATTGGCGATTCTTTTCGATGTAATTATTTTTTTTTTTTTTTACAACACATGCAAAATCCATGGGAACAACAGACAACAGGATGATGCAACTCCTTCCTGGATGGATGAGAATGGATCAGAAAAATCTACAGACTTTATAACTGTATTGCAACTCACCACGCCCGACTCGCTTCCATATTGGGATACAAAAATAGTAGAAGCATATAAACGAACATTGCTAGTGGTGCCGTCAACAAATAAAAGGAAAAATAGCATGTAAAAGGGCGGTAAAGGAGACACGACGGAAAAGGAGACAGCTCAGAAAAGGAGACATGATGGAAAAAGCGACAGGACAGAAAAAGGGGACAGGACGAAAAAGGAGACTGGACTAAAAAGGATTAAACAGTGAGAGGAGGTGTGGTGGAGCATAATATTAATCCGATGAATTGAACATATAGTAACATTCTCGGATCAATATTCATCTGATATCTACGTGTCAGGCTAATGACTTTATACATACATACATATGTGTGTGTGTGTGTGTGTGTGTGTGTGTGTGTGTGTGTGTACGGTGTGTACGTGTGTGTACGTGTGTACTTGCGCGCGCGGTAATGTCCGAGTAACTCTAATAAGATCTGGTGATAACTCTCCGTAGAGTGAAATCAAAAATCTCTGTGGAATAAAATAGGTCGGCCCTGAGGTACTTAACCAAAATCAGAGACCGCATCGAAATTTTATCACACTGTCGAAACAATGATACTGATTTTATTGATAGCGTGATTAGTTAATTACCATCCATTAGTTTCAAGGATTCTTTCCGGTGCAATTATCCTTGGCAACTTTGTGTTCAAGCGGTCATAATGGCACGATCAAACAATTAATGTTTCAATAATGGAAATTGCCCCTAAAACATACTTACACATAATCGATATTGGTAAACAATATATAAAGTGACACAAAGTTGCGAAAAAATGTAAAGAGTTCATATTTTGGCGACTAAATCTCATTTTCTGGTTTGTGTTTTGATGCTAAATTAATATTATATAAATTTTATGATGAAAATGCTTAAATCAAGTAAAAACAAATGAAATAGATCAAAACATAGCATCGGGCATTAGATCCGCGTTTAAGTCGTTAATGCGTTGCTCGTGTCTAATCCGTAAGGATAGGGCACGTGAGTTCAATTCTCATTGGAGATTAATTCTTAATTTCTGTTCCCGCCTGTGTAGTTAATGGTTGTTGAATCCTAAATGACCGAGGCGTTGAGATAAAAATAGGCAACAAATTCAAGATGAAAGATAAATATGTAAAAAAATAAACGAACAGCGATATTCGGAGAACTTAGAAAAAAACAAAATAAGTTGTGCACCACTTCGACATTTTTGGAATATCCATTTCGCTGCTTTCTTTCTCTCGCTCTTTCTCTCTTTCATATATAAATATATATATATATATATACACACACACACACACACACACACACACACACACATATATATATATATATATATATATATATAAATATAATCAGCTAGGAGTTAACAAGGCTCAATGGACTCTTTAGCCTTGATTGGAAACCAGTCCAGTAGAAGGAAACAGTGTATTCAAGCTTTACGCAATTTATCTGTTACCAATCATTTTAAAAGGTGTGGCTGATTCTAAACAAGACTTCTCCAGGATAATATGGTTTTGATGCTAATTTTTAACTGAATGTGTGAGATTCAAAAATTCAAAAATAAAAATCGTCCTTGATAATGGCTAAAAGAATAGCCGAAAACGTTTGGATATGCAGAACTTTTAGACAATTTTACAAACTTTGTGTCCAGAAAAGAAAAAACTTGTACGAACACAAAGAATATTAAATAAAAAGCTTAACCGTAGTACCTTACCTCTCGTCTTTGATGAAACATGTATAAAGATATATATATATATATATATATATATATATATATATATATATATTAAAATAATACGAAAGTGTTGGTGTATAAAAAAAATATGAATTAAGCGGATGAATGAACATACCTAATTATTTTATAATTGAAAACCCAGACGACACACTGAAGAATGGAAGTATACGTTTGTTAGCAAACACCCCAACCGCACCAAAACTTAACCTGACTTTGTTAAGTAACATATATTGGATACATAAGCTGTCTGGAGAAATTAAAACCCAGACACCCTTAACATTAACAACTCCTAATATCATTATAGTCTTATTGAAAGTTTATTCCTAACATCGCTTGACAATGGAACGAGACTACGGATTTTAAGTTTAATTTTTATAATTAAATTTATAGATTTAGTTTCAGTTTTGAAACATGGACATTTTCCGTGTCGCGATGGAATCATATTTTTAAAAGAAAATAATTATAATATATATGTGTGTGTCTGAGAGAGAGAGAGAGAGAGAGAGAGAGAGAGATGGGGGCGAAAAAAGTGGAGTAAGCGGTACGAAAAACAGAATATCAGCCGAGGTTATATTCACTTCGAACAAATACTCTTGGTATAACTTATGAAGTCACTTATTCTTGTGAGTGAACATTGTGTAAGCCCATTTCACATAACTTCCTTGACTATCCAGCAGTGAAAACAAGAAGCTGTAACTCGCACTGACAACCTTGACGTATTATTTAGGCTTTTTTTTTCTCTCTTTTTCTACTAACAACATTTAATATTATTTTTTGTCTGGAGCTACAAACTTTTAGTATTTTTGTATTCGTTGATTTTCAGGTCATGATTAATGGAAAATAAGTGACAGCAAGTCAATAGTCCACCATTTTCCTTACGATTGAAACTGATTTTAATCATGCTGTCATCTTGATGATTTCAATACTTTGTCGGATTTACAACTGTAGAAAGTTTTGTTTACTTGAATTCTTCTGCACTCTTCCACCTGGTCCCATAATGATTGATAAACTGTCGTTTTTAGATTCCACCATTTTTTTCCCAATTATCTGACAAGGTTAAGATATTTTTCAGCTTTTCACTTTCGTTCGACTTCATTGTGTGCTTTACTAAAACTGACATGTTTTCCTGACAATTTTTGATAGGACTTGGTCCCCGGAGTCTGGATTGGGTGATGCACTCGAAGGGAATTTTAGTTTCACTCTTCACAAAAAGAGCTTCTACATCTTGTTTTTATTATCTATTTGCATTCTTAAATCGCACTTGTTTGCACAGTTCCTGATAAATTATAGCTACATTTATATCTTTATCATTCATAAAGTTGCCTCTTTGTGTCATTTATATAAATACTTTCATGGTGATAAATACTTTCGGATGAGCTCTTTGCTATGATACCTAGACTTTTTGAATTTAAAGCGCAGTACTAGACTGACGTCGAGATCTCATCAGTTTACAGTTGAGCTGGCTGGATGTAACCGTAAATTCTATGCTAACAATTTCTTTTCTCGCACTTCTCGCTTGTGGAACTCCTTTCTGGCTCCATGCTTTCCATCCAACTGTAATCTACAAAAATTTAAACACAATGTCAATCGCTATCTACGGTCTTCCTGATTACTCTTTTCTCTTTCCATTTATTATGGTTTCCGTTCCACATCCAGTAACCCTGTGTGTCTGAGTGGCTTTACTGCTTTACATGGAGTGAAACCAATTTAAAAAATGTCTATTTTTATACCCATTATGAATTAAAGTGCTATAGTCATTGTCAGATAGTTGTTTTTTTTCCAAATAGCACAATGGAAAAGCTGAAATCTAGGCTATCAATGGTATGAATATTGTATCCACAATCTTCCTTCCATTCTATTCACCATTTTGCCGGACAAAGCTGAGCGTACAAAGTATAAGAACGAATGAGATACAGTTTGCTTCATGACTGTTGAGGTTGCATACGTTTTGATGGCATCAAAAATTGTATTGACTTCAAGTGTTATTTTCCCGGCAAGCAAGTTCTCTCCAACTGGAAAATTGGCGCTAAAAGTCTTCTTTCATTAAAATCACTCGTTCCTTCTTCATCTTCTGCCAGACGTAGCTAAGCTTGATAAATATTAAACTAAGTATGTGGTGAGTACAAAATAATAATAACTCCGTTTCCTCACTCCCTTCAAATTCAGGCGAGCTGAAGAAAAATACGGAAAGAAATTCCCGAGCCTATGTGAAATTTTCTTCGGACCAATGAAAACCTTGTTTTTCACAGGAATTAGTCGTTGATCCTAGAAAAAGAAAGAGAAGAAAATAGCGAGCCTATGCGAAATCCTTTTTGATATAAAATAAGGAAAACTAGTTTCGTTACTGTTCACGCGTCAAGCGTTCAAAGTTTTCGCCAGTGCCAAATTACTCACCAATTATATTATCGGCCTTAAGTAAGCGCTTTGCACGTCAAAGAACTTTATTTCAACAACCCAAGAAAGCTAAGTATTTTAAACTATCTTTCTTCGTCTACTTTTGGACGTATGCATCTGTATATCCTTTCTGTAGACAATCTTACCTTTGTTTAAACATTATTTTGTGTCAGATCATTTAATCTGTTGTATGAACATTTCCTCTTCATGACAATTTGTTGAAAACTACGGACTTCTGATTTATTTTCCTGAAATGAGCTACTGATATTACTTCAAATATGTAAATTCTTAAATAAATTTCTTATCTTGCTTTGTTAAAATTACTCGAGTCTATCCTCATTATTATTAACCTTCATTAAC